ACAAGGTTCTCATCTGTAAGTAGGAATGACAGATTCACAGAGTTGCTAAGAGGATTAATAAAGGCAACAAAGGTAAAGTTTCTGGCTGACAGTAAGCAGTAAATCAGCGTGAAGTCTTCTGATGTCAAAGTGATGCATCCTAAAACCCATTAGATTTAGACTACAGACCTATATTGTCCAATATGGCAGCCACCAGCAACATGTGGCCACGAATTAACCGAAATTAAACAGACTTTAAGATTCAATTCGCAGTGGTCAAAAAGTCACATGTGGCTAGCAGCTACATACTGGACAGAGCCAACAGTTATCAGTGTCATCAATGAAGAAAGTTCTTTTGGGCAGGGATACCATAGAAGTGACAGGATTATCAGAAGTCTAGAAGTCCAAAATTTTGCCATTAACTATGTAATGTTAGCAGAACAACTTTTATCTCATTATGTTATTTCCTCAGTGGTAAAATGGAATAATGCCTCTGCAGCAACATTGTGGTCAGCAGGCCCACCTGAAATGACTTTTTTCTTGCTTTCTTATCATCTTTCCAGGACCCCAAGATTAAATTATGTACAACAGTGTCTAACAAGGACCACTCTGAGGATGACTCAATAAGTACAGCTCTTTGTGAGCTCAACATTCAAAGCCATGATTTGATATTATTCCAACACACCTGTATGTAGTGGAGAATAGCATATGTTCAATAGCACACTAAGCTACCTGCAGGCAATTTTTGTGGTGATGAAAAGACACAAATTAGTATAGCTGTGTAAGTTTTCATTGGCAAATGGGCTTTCATAGACAACTAAGTTCTCCCAAGGTTTAAAATGGAAAGATCAGAGATCGTATTTCCTACCTACTCATTGGTTTCACCTTAATGTTTAAGTCTGCCTATTCCCTTTTTGTAAATCATAATCTGTTGCTGTCAGTTGTGAAATATTATTATGTTTTTTATTTATCTAGCTAAATAGATTTTATCTATTTATTTTTTCATAAAATACTAAATAATAAATATTTTATGGTCATAAAGTCTCTTATCACAACTAGCTAACCTCTGCTCAACCACTGATAACAGAAGCATAAATAGGCATAGCTGTGGGCCAATAAACCTATATTTACTAAAATTGCCTCTTAGGTCCTAATTTGCCAACTCCAGATCTAGAAGGATATGTAAGAACATCTATTTGAAGGACATATCTATAGAAGAATATGTTCTCACATACCCTTCCTTGCTCTTTCCAACATGGTTTCTTTTTTTAACCACTATTATCTGTTTTCCATTTATTTTAATTTTTTGAACACAGATTGCATCCTGCAAATTATCACAGGCTTTTAAACGATTAATTTAGAAATGTCAAAACATAAATTTTTCTTCTCACTTTTATTAAGATCTTGAATACAAAAACAATATAATTTTTTTTCAATGTTTTTATTCATTTCTAGGAGAAAGAGAGACAGCGTGAGCAGGGGAGGGTCAGAGAGAGAGGGAGTCACAGACCAAAACAGGATCCAGGTTCTGAGCTGGCAGTCAGCACAGAGCCCGACGCGGGGCTCGAACCCACGAACCGCGAGATCATGACCTAAGCGAAAGTCGGAAAGTCGGACGCTTAACCGACTAAGCCACCCAGGAGCCCCAAAAACAATATAATTCTTAGGATGATTTTTCCCCTTTGAGACCACAAATTGAGGGGGATGTAGACAGCATATAAATCATGAAAGAACTAATTAAAAATGATTCACAGATCTAACATGTCATTTAAAGTTTTCTGGCTATTTTACTAATTTACAAATTGAATTACAACTTAAATGCAAAACCAAAACTGAGCTAAGTGCCACAATGTCATTATTTCTTTACAGACATTACTGTCACAGACAAATCAATTAAGGTCAAATATTTAGATGACTCAAGTAACATCTATACACAAAAATCTAGCAACTTGTATACAGAGATAAAAATATAATTCCAAGAACTGGTAAGAAATTACTAAAACAGAATCATGAAATTCTAGCGTTAGAAGCATCCTTATGGAATAAGTTTTTTTGGCCTCAGTGCTTTATAGTTGATAAGTATGGTTCTCATCTCTTATTTTTCCTTCCCTGAATACACTGTTCTTACTAGATCTTCAGTTTTCTTTATGGGGCTACTCCTCCCTCCCAGCTCTGGCAGTTTGGGTCAGGCTGGTGTCATCCTCAGGCTAAAAATGTGGGTATTTAATCCAGATTCATCAGAGTCCTATAAATTCCTGGCCAGAAGACTGGCCAAAGGATTGTTTCCAGGTCAAAAATGGTTGGTCATCCCCATTCTGGGATGCTTTCCTTCCTCTTCTCTCCCTCCCTTCCTCAAGCTTGCTCTCTCTCTGTCTCCCCCCACTTCCTTTCATTCTCTCTTTCTCATCCCCTCCTTCTCTGTTTCTCTTTCAGGGATGCTAAACCTGAGAACATGTTCCAGGTGTGCATAGCAGCCATTCTGCCAGCTTGTGGAAATGGTCTGCCTGGAATGAAACCAACATAGACACAAGCTGGTCTGAGTTGCAGAGTCCAGGTTCTGAGGTTTTGAATCTCTGGATCCAGGCTTAACTGAACCCAGAACTCCTGTCTTTTGTAATCAAAAGAGCAAAATAGTTCTCCTCTGTTTTTCTTAAGTCTGAGTTGGGTTTTTGTCATTATAGGAGTCTGGACAAACACCATAGGTTAATCAACTCAAAGTGAATGTTGCCAAGCAGGAGGGGTCAGGATTTTAATCACCTCTAAATCTGATGTTTGTTTCAAGAGAAGGCTGAATAGACTAACAAATTCTTTAAAATCTTGTGTGCAAAGAATTTCATGTAAAAAGTGTATCCTAGTCTGTAAGCTTTGCACATACTGAGTACTATAATTGGATTGTTACCTCCTTTCATGGATATTCTTGCTTAGAATCGCTTAAAACACACTGATCTGGGGCTGTCTGCGTGGCTCAGTCAGTTGAGCATCTGACTCTTGATTGCGGCTCAGGTCATGATCTCAGGATCGTGGGATACAGCCCAGCATTGGCCTTTGTGCTGAGCGTGGAGCCTGATTCTCTCTTCCTGTATCCCTCTCCCCTGCTCGTACACACACACTCTCTCTAAAACAAAACGAAATAAAACAAAAACAAAAAAACCTGATCTGATATAAAGAAAATTACTGTTCACATTCTTACAGTTCAGGAAACAGACTTGAAAGGGATGCTGGAAGGTCAGAAATATAGTGAATGCTGGTGTAGGTAACATATGGAGGATTTTAGATACACTGTCAACACCAACTGTCCCAATTCTACCCTGTGTCATCAGTCACAATAGCTGGGTCAACACACACATACCAGTAATTCTAGAAATATTTATGGAAACTATGCTGTGCTCAGCACCAAGATACTATGTGAACGACATAAACTCAAACTTTAAATTTCCAAGAGAGAAAGAGGAACTTAATTCTGACAACAAAATCACTTATTTGAAAATAAAGAATTACTTGTTTATTACTAAGCCTTTTAGAAACTCACCACATGAATGACTTCATTCGTTTATCTCCAACTCCATACCGGATTCATTAGAAACAACAGTACATACAGCTACGTGAACATAAGCTTTTACAAAGGGCAAAAATTTTAAATATGATGATTTTTGTCTAATTGACACTGTGTATGTCATTTCTTTAACCTGCTAACTAGTTATTTAGCAACAAAAAACTAAAACACATCTAAAAAGACGTTGTTAATATTTTTCATTCACTGCATAACAATTTAAAAAGGACGTAAGACTGATCCATTCAATGGTTTGTTCTCTGCGGCAAATATGGAGCTATAAAAAAATGACATTTTAACTGCTGTCCATATGTGAAATTTATGAGAACAGTGTAAACTGACAAAACAAACATACAAACAAATGTTTGGTCTTCTAAACATTCATACAGGAAGAGAAAAACCTTCAATGCTGGCAAATGAACCTCATTAAATAGGACGAGTTTTATGTGTGTATTTCCTTGAGCGCTATGCAGATGGAAGTCACATTTTAACTTGTTAGACTCTGTAACACTTACCTGGGCTTCCGGTTTATATATCATTTTTATTCTTTCACTGCATAATCTGCTAACAGAAATGGTTGTTGATAAAGCTGACTGAAACTGAAATAACCCTGGAATTATTTTGGAATAACCCCCCAAATTCTCTAATTTTGGATTCTTGTCTAAGACATACAAGAAAAATGGTTTGAGGGATGAAACTAACATGAGAAATACACAGATCTTAGAGCTTACAAAACGTAGGATTTTATTTAAATTTATGTGCAGATAAGAATTTTACCAAAATTTAAACAAAGACCTAATTCATTATTTCCCACCAAAAAAATGGACATTATGAGAAAAAGCCACATTCTCTCAATTACATTTTCCCAGCTGGTAGATTCTGGAGGGGAAAAGGAGGGGAGAAAAGATGCTGACACAACATAATTTGATCTTCAGTGCTGTCTCGTCTTGAAAGGACTTAATTATGGAGGTTTCCCTAAGAATCAGCATTCTTCGGTTTTGACGTTGAAATAGAAGCTTCTATTCCAAAATCATAAATAAGGCTTCTGGCTTTATTTTTAGTGTGAGGTAAACAGTATATTCAGTATTAAGGCAAATGGTAGAATATATGTGTGGGATATTAATGTAGATCTTCCACTGTAAAAATAACATATTTTGGAACATTCATGGATTTTCTAAGTGTGTTGGAATTAGAAACTTGTAAAAGCTGTTGCAGGGTATAATAGTTCTGAATGTCTTAGCTGTGCCTTTTTGAAAGTTAACCTGTTAAATGTAATCTTGTTTGACTTTTTAGAGCATGTGAATTTTTTATTACTAAAAATTGTTGTAGAATTGGTCTGATCTCAAATTCTGTATATACACACACTGCTTGGCCAAATAGACTGTTCCTCTAAAGTTGGCAACAAGCAATGCCTACTGAGCAGGCTTACCATGACCGAAAAGTATGAGAATAGAATGTTGAAGACTGTAAGTGAAATCAGATGACTTAGGTGGGCTATATATTTAAGAAAATGCAGATTCAAGATTTTTCAGAGAGTGATTATGGGTCATCCCCTCAACCATTTTTTTCCCCAATGGAATGACCATTTCCTTCACAGTGATGAGAGAATCATTCCTTTGTATGGGACAATGGACTTTTTCCTCCAAGGGTCAGGACAAAGCTGTCACTTTTTAGCCACGCTGGCCACAGTCTTCTTGGCTGCATCCTCCAGGTCCACAGCTGAAGTAATGGGGAGTCCACTGTTTTTGAGGATGTTCTGAGCCTCTTGGACATTGGTTCCTAGAAGGTGGGCAGGGGGTACGGAGAGTCACTGAAATGAAACCGGAGGTGGTGCCCTGGGAAGTTTCATACAACCTGAAATCGTGCAAGACCTAGGTCTCACAAACACAGTTTAATTACAGCTCAGGTTCAGCTTTTTTATGATACAGATTTGGCTATTTAGACATATCCACAGAAAAATATACTCTCTTCCTTTTATCACCTCAAATGTCTGATATTACAAAGTATATACTATACAAAAATAATAGATAAAAATAAGTACATATAAACATATAGAGACTTTTTACACATTTATATAATAAAACTTCTAGTTATATAAATTTATATAAAAATATAAATATATAAAATATGTCATACATAAAAATATATTACCTATACTTTTTTCTGGCACTTAAAAAATGCAGATAATGACATTCTTATAAGACTATGAACGAAGAAAGACTAAAAACTACTTGGTCAAATGATATCAAAAAAGAAAATCTGAACTGGATGTGTCCCTTGCTTGAACAATCTGAATAGGGAATCTAAAGAAAAAGCTACGTGTAAAATATGAGCAAGAGAATGGAAAATCGGTATAATGGGTTGGCATACATAGAACATAGAAAGTAACCCTGAAGATGCACAGGACTAATTCCTATCTAGCTTTGTGCCAGGAAATTAATTAAATATAGGTTCTAATCAACACTACTGACAGGGAAGATTATGTGGCAAGATCTCTATCATGGTGGTCTGGCTAGTAAACAAGATGAAAGACAGGAATTGCCTGAGACTAATGAACATTTTTTTTCTACTGATAAAAACTGACATTTCAGCTGCTAATCTACAGTCAAGTGGATTTAATGTGTTCTGGCCCATACTATAAGTCAAATGTCCTAAAGATCTCATGAAACTAATGTTATGAGAGTCTGTCCAACTATGGCCACAAATCTACCACTTTGGGAACAATGACAGTATTCAACACATGTATTTTCACTTCCTCCCTGCTCCATATGACAAAAAGGGTAGAGTCATTCAAAATGAGCACTGCAGCATCTGATGGTGTATCTTCATCTCCCATTTCTGGTGGATTTCAGCATTTATGGGCCAAGCTACCCCACCCAGAGGTGTGCTTCTGCAACCTGTTTAGCAAAGCAAAATGCTTTTCTGTTCTTTCAGAGTAAACAAGCCCATAGGAGAAATGTGGTAAAATTTAAGACTCTAATGAAATACCTCATCTTACATCATTTCCTGTGCTTTTATCTAGTTAGCAAAGCAGAGCCTATTTATATACAAAGACCTTGAAATATAGGACTTGGAGGACCTAAGAGTACAAACAAAAGGGAAGCACTTAGTCGGCATATTTCATACAAAAAGGCAAAGGCCAAGTTCAAAAGGAACAGTTGTGCTAACAAGGTGATGTGGTGTGGATTCTCCCAGGAGCCTGGGGCCACCACAGCTGTGGGAAAGGGGACACTGGGCATTGCGTCTTTAGTTCAAGGCTAACTCATTGCTGTATTCCAGAGGAAATCTGCTAAATGTCCTCTATGGAAAGCAACAGTTCAAAAGGTAAAGAAGTTATTACCTGGGTGGCCCAGTTGGTTAAATGTTGATCTAACACCTCATTTTGGCTCATGTCATGATCTGACAGTTTGTGAGATGGAGCCCAGACAAGGGCTCCTTGCTGACAGTGAGGAGAGATTCTCCCTCTCTCCCTCTCTCTCTCTACCTCTCCCTCAGGTGCTCTCTCTCTCAAAATAAATAAATAAACATTACCAAACAATCCCTAGCTTCTTATCCTGGCTCTGTTGTAGATTAGTTGTATAGTTTTGGGTAAATTATGTATACCTTTAAGCCTCAACTTCTTAATCCCCAGACATAACATTATGATCATCTTCCTCATAACTAAAACACATGCCAGACATAATGCTAAGTGACTTCCATGCAGCATATGAAATCTTTATGATGATGATGCCTAGATCTTACTGTCCCTATTTCACAGATGAGGCAACAGAGGCACAGAGAGGTTAAAGAACTTTTCCATAGAGACACACTGTACCTGGCAGTGATGGGAACCTGCATTCTGTTCTCTGTAATAATACAACCCTAAATGTTCTAAAGATATGCTGGTTTGTTTCTCTGTTTATAAAATGAGGATAATAATGCTGACAGCATGGGTTGTGAAGAGAAGCAAGTGAAATAATACACGCGAAAGGATTTTGTAAATGTCTACAATCTGTGGCTGACTTAGCTTGCTGTCAGCCAGAGTCATGCTCCTCTTCTACAATGGACGTGCTCCTCTTCTACAGTGGACAGCTATTGCTGGGAAGCAGCTGCCCAACTAGGAACTACATTTCCCAGGTCTCCCTTGCAGCTATGTGGGGTCCTGTGACTTAGTTCTGGCCAAGAGCCTGTGAGCACCATGAAATACATCACCATAAAAATTGCCATTGAGAGCTCCTGCAGTCACTTGGTTTTCCCTGGGTGCCTTCCGGAATGTCACCAGCCAAGACAACTCTGGAAATCATCTTTCTGAACATGGCAATGCCTCCTTCAGTATGGTTACCAGCATAATTCTGTAGAGCAGAGCACCCTACTCACTCATGCTTTCAGACTTTATGTGAATGAGAAAGAACCTTCTATTTACATTAAGACTCACATTCCAACATTTATCTGTCACAGGAGCCAGCATTACTTTAACTGACATATTACTTTTTAAGTGTGGTGCTAAGCAGCTTCCAAAATGGCTCTCGCATGGTCAATTCCCACTTCCTGGTGTTCACAGCCCTGTGTAATCCCTTTGGCTGTGGGTGGAACCAGCAACTTGCTTCTCATGACTAAGAAGAGCAAAAGTGATAGAATGTCATCTCTGAGACTAAGTTCCAAAAGCCCATGACTTCTTTCTTGTTCCTTCTGACTCTGTTCACTCTGATGCAGCAAACTGCCATTATTGTGGACTGCCCTATGGAGAAGCCCATGAGGCAAGGAATTTAGGGCTGTCTCCAGCCAAAAGCCAAGGAGCAACTAAGGCCTTCATCCTGACAACCCACGAGGAACTGTATCCTGCCAACAATGATGCTTCTGGAAATGATCCTTCCCCAGTCAAGCCCTGATATGACCCTATCGCCGGCTGACACTTTGACTGCAGTTTTGAGACCTTAAATCAAAGGATCCAACTAAGCCACAGTCAGATTCCTCACCACAAAAAAAAAAAAAACCTGTGAGATCAACAATGTTCCTTGTGTTAAAGCTGCTGAATTTCAGGGCATTTTGTTGCACAGTAGTTACCTAATGCAGATGTGAAGATTTATTATTTCATTAATCCAATCTAAGTGTTCATTTTGATTCATTTGGAAAGTTTCAGACAAGGTCCCAGAGGTTGAAAAGTGGAACAGAGGATCTGACTGTGGCAGGTGTGAAATACTAGGCTAAGGAACTCTGACATTAATCTGTAGGTGGGGCTTTCATGGAATAATGACACAGTGTGCAGCAAAGTCCTACTGACACCGAATGGAACTGGTCTTTGGGCCAGAAGGTCAATGAAAGTTAAATATGTAAATTTCTATCTCCTTCAACAGAGACATAGAGTTCTCTGCCTACCTGTCCTCTTATCAACCAGGGAAGGAATCTAAATTTGGGTCAGAAAGGCTCTTCTCCCTCTTTCCTTTCTCTCTAGGGCACCCTCCAAACTTAACAGACAGCTCCCAGGAACCCCACGCATCAAGAGGCAGATTCATCTGCCTGAACATTTCCACATCTGTGACTCTACTTTCTTTGGTGAAAGTCCTCCTGTGAACACAGATCATAGCCAAGCCTGTCAGGTTCTCTCTGTAACCGAGATGGTACAAGAATTAACAGCACCAGTAGCAGCAAGAATTAGAAGCACCAGTAGCAGCACTGTTACAGTGGTAACAGTAACAGAAGCAATAACAGCAGCTACCACTTAGCAGGCGTCATGCATTGTTCAGTTCTATTAGTTCATTTGCTACTCAATAGCAACGCTGAAATGGCTACTATTATTATCTTCCTTTTACAGGAGGAGGACTGAGGCACAGGTAAGTTTAAGGCTAAAGGCTAAGTAGCATGGCTGGGAATGGTTAGGAAGTAGTTGAATGAAAATTGAACTTGATCTCTCACTGGTTTGAATGATTTCTGGAACTAATGCTTGAAACATCCATGCTGAACCATGGATGACGATTTTTATAAATGCATGATGTCATCATAATCACAATGACAATAATAATAATTAAAAAAGCTGTTTTCCAGTCTTCCCGCATTACTTATTTGAGCTTTTGAACTTGTGAGTTTGGTGTTTCTAAAAGACCTTGTGAGTCTGGTCTTTATAAATGAGTGCTTTTTATTCATTTATTTATTCTTTGGTCAAGAGCACTGAGGCCTAGTGATTGGCAGGGTGCAGTCTCAAAATTCTTTGGACTTCCCACTCTATTTTGACTTCCTGGTGACTCCTGCTTGAGGAGTCAAATTTACAATTTGAAATTTGTAGCACTTTCCCACACATGAGATCATCTAAACTTCAATGATGCTATAAATTATTTAAGAGCAAGGATCAGGTACAACTAGGTATCTGCTTTTTTGCAGCCTCCCTGCCTAGCTACACCCACCCTACCTACTGTCCCCTGCTCGAGGAGGGACCATATAGTGATCTTCGCCCCAAGGGAGACAAGGACTGTTCCCAAGTTGACTGTATCTCATCCAAGCGTGGTCCAAATACAGATGCTGGTCATTAGCTTATGCAATGTCAGGTTTGCTCTGCTGAGAATCTGAATGGGTAGTTTATACGAAATGGAAAATACCATGACAAGGACTTAACCAGCCGTGAGTAAGCAGGTGAGAGAAAGGCAGTGCAAACATGCAGAGAGGAGTGGAGCGAAGTGCACAGGCTGTTGGAATGATGCTCCTGAGGTTGTCCTCCATGCCTTCTCTTCCTGGGGACTGGCTTCATTATGGCTGCTGTCCATTCTGAGAACTGTTTATTCAGTTTTACCTGTGATCCTTTCCATGGG